TTCTCGGTGTGTAATTGTAGAGAGAACAATTTAAATTATTTAAAGTCTTTTAAAACTAATTGCCCCGACCGAAGAATAGGCGTTGTTTACAAACGTAAACTAAAATAAGCCAAAGAACTGCGACCCATTTTCGGATTAACTTTTGGAAAGGCAAGGGTCGCTGTTTTTGTTATTATATCCGCTGCAGCTGAAACCACACTTAAGGCTTTTAGTAACATTTAGTTTACAGTTTTCGTCGACTTTTCAACACAGCACTCACGCGAAAAAACACAAATGTGAAATAACAGACCTTTCCCCCAGTCCTACAACTGTGAATGGGCCTTTACTGTGGCGAAATGACAAATTCCACGTTCTGGTTCGTGAGTGCCATGACATACTATTCTCTAAATAGAAATATAATCATTCGATGAAGAAGCTATCCAGAGATTTGTAAAACAGAAATTGTAACTATCAGATTTGTACGTTTTAGAACCAAAAATTTGCGAGGGATAAAAAATAGTTTGGCTATGATTATTGTGATGCTACTATTCAACCGTCCAGTGATATAATCTACTAAGTTTTCCCAATTCATGTGTTTCATATTAAATTAGTTTGGCAAGTGGACGTCCACCACTTCGCTGGGAAGTCACGAAAAGGACTCCCTGGCGCTGGTGCACAGCAACAAGAGGGGCCGAGTTCAGTGATTTCCTTCCATTTATTGCTAGATCCTCAAAACATGTTTATGATGAATCCAAAGATATTTAAAGTAAATAATTTATACGAAGCAAAAAATTAAAAGCAAAGCTATTTATATTACAAACATTTTAATCTGATATGAGAAATTCAAAATTGATAGATAGAAAATAAAACACTGCACGGTGTTTTATGTTATTGAAACACATGTTTTGTCGATCATTTAATATTGCTATATGATATAAATTGATATGCTGCACATTAATTTAACATGAAAAAACCCCATTGATATGTGCAAATATATCATTTTGATATGGCCATATAAGGACCAAAATTGATATGCAAACACTGTGACGTGACTGTGACTGTGTTCTTGCTAGGTACGGTCAGGATTTTTGAAAAATTCTTTTTGCAGTTACAATTATTTTTGTTTGGAGAAACTTTTGCATCAAAAAATTTAAGTTTTCAAGACGAGGTAAAAAGCTCAATGAGAATGAGAAAATTTTAGAAAGTACTTATTTATTCGATCTAGGAATGATCAGTTGGTGCTGAGAACATTCCATATGTAAGCGTTAAGATTGTATTTGCTTTCGGATACGGCATACTTATACTGTGTGCAGAGGGTACAACGGTGTTCGATATGACTATTATTCTTTCATACCATACTGATATTCTTTCATATCAAATTGATATGTTTGTATTATCAATAATAATCAGTTTTGTTATTATATTATATTTGTTTTGTTACTATATTAAAAGCCCATAAGTTCATTTTAACTATTTTTTTTTTAACTCTAGAATAGCCGAGTGTCTCCATTGTCATATGCATATAAACTAAGTCTAAATTCTCAATTTTCTAGCTCTTAAAATTTCCGAGATCAAAGCGTTTATAGGAGCAGACAGACAGACATGGCTAGATCGACTAGGCTAGTGATGCTGATCAAGAATATATATACTTTATGCGGTCGGAAATCTTCCTTCTACATGTTACATACTTTCCGAGGAATCTACACTCATAGAAATTTTACTGTAAAATCGCCCTAAAAACAAGGAAAATCGCCCTAAAAAGGGGGTCAATGGCGACTGGGTAACAAAATAAGGGTAACATTTTCTAAAAATAGGCATGTATTGGTCTTACATTTAGGGCGATTTTTCTTAGATCTAGGGTTAATTTTCTTAAATCTTGGGCGATTTTTCTGTTTTCAAAGGTAAATACCCTTAACATATGAAAACAAATTTTAAGCATCCACGGCGGTATTTCTTGAAATTATGGTGAAGCGCCCTAAAAACAAGAGCAAGTGCCCAAAATATTAAAACTAATTTTTATAAAAAAACGTGTTTGGACATGTTTGCTGGTTATCAGCAAACATTATCTGCGGTACTTTTTCCAGGAATTTTGACTTAGTGTCCTTTTTTACTATAATTTGAGAGGGTGAGAAGGGCAAGGTTATTATTTGGCCGCTCCACGCACGTTGGTAGGTAAGGTAAACTGCTAATTAGAGTCATACGAACTGAAAGTAGTCATTAAACAGAATCAGGGAAATAAGATAAATACAAAACAACTTACTTATTGAGAAAATTCTTCGTGGTCGCAGCGAGAATCGAACTCACGACCGCTGGGTTCGCAGTCGAGAACACTACCGCTGCACCAAAGACGCATCGCGTTAGGCGACGCGCAAAAAGGTTCCATGTCTCAATTTGTTCTAAGAACAAATTCTCAATTTAATTCTAAGAAATATTCTCACTAATGACAACATATTATGATTTATATTACCCAATTAGACTTAATCATTAAAAACTATTATTTTAATGTAATATTCATTTTTTTTGTTATTTTGACGTGTTCTAATATTTGTTTTGCCTCTGCACACAAAATTGTTCAATAATTCAATTCTAAAAACTTGCACAAAAAAGAAAAATACATGTTGACTCTTCGTGGGCTCGAACTCACACCATTTAGACGAGTTTGAACGTTCAACGCATTAGACCGCTAGTCCACCGATTTTCCAATTTCAAGGGCGATTTTCTAGTTTCAAGGGCGATTTTGGATGATTTTTTGTTTCACGAAATAAGGCGATTTGCCCTAAATATGAGAAAATTTAAAAAACATTTGCTCGGAAAAATTCGCCCTAAATAATAGAAATTTTAGAAAAATTAACCCTAAAACATATTTTCTATGGCGATGTTTCCTATATTTAGGGCGATTTTTCTCAATGTTAGGGCGATTTCATGTTTAGGGCGATTTTTCTAGTATTTAGAAAAATAATTTTATGAGTGTAGTATACCTGTTTACTCTACGAATAACGGGTATAAATAGAGTGATTAAAAAAACCTTCTTGAATGTTTACCTTGTTTCTTTTCGAAAGGACTACAAATAAGCAGAAAGTAAGAAAATAAATCCTTTAATTTTGTCATTAAAAATTATTTACCTTTCTTCTTCTTAAAAAAAATGTCTTTGTAAAGTTTTAAGCAAGTGAATTCATTTGACCTATGGGCACGTTTAAGTATGCTTTACAAAATAGTTGTTGAAACATATGTAAGCCATAGATTCTGCACACGCCTGCAACAACTATTTTGTGGGGCATCCTTTGAAGCGAGTAAATTGCTTAGCTTGTATATCCTTACACACCTTTAAATAATTTTTCTTGAAATCCTTGAATTATGCTCAGAAACGTTCTTTAAATACATACTTTTTCGTAAACAATATTAGGTCTGGCAACGAAACTATACCTCGCCTCCCTATTCCACATTGTTAAAGAACTGATACCATAACTTTCCCCGATGCTGTTAAACTGTTTGTTTCAATTTATATACAATGGGTACGGGGCTTGACTAAGGGTTTGTTTTCGGCTTCTTGTATAGGATTCATGTATGATGATAGATGCACACTTAATTTATGCGAACGTTTCATCTGTTTTCGCTACGTTGGGTTCACTTCTGGCCAGGATGAAAAAGGTAAGAGGTGGGTCTGACTTTGTTTCTGGTTTTTTCAGGGTCGTACGCAAATTAGTCAAGCCACCTAAGATTTTACGTATTTTTAAAATTTGTGCGCCGACAAGTTCTAGCTTTATGGACATCGTCTGTCGTCTTTCCCTTTTCATATTTACAAATTAAAGTTAGGAGGCTTTATATGGTCAGTGACGTCATTAAGAGTAGAGGCGCTAGCAACTGGTGGCATCTAGAGGTTAACAGAGTAAGGGGTATCTGATGTCGGCGCATTCTTCTGGTTTCTGCGTGGTGAAGCTTTTGTCATCTCTAGCATTTTTAGTTCCCACAAACACGACTTTTATTTGGTCGTATCTCATTTAGACTGTTAGTACTGATCCGGAAAATGTATCCCGACTTCCTTCGTTTTGTGTTTTATCGCTCTGTATATTTTAGATGGTGTTAAACAGCTGCTTACAAGAAACTTAAGTTTTACCACTTTTGGAGAAATTTGATTACAGCATCCGTTTTTTGTGGCAGTGAGGATTATAAAAAGGAGAAGGAACATAAAATACTTAGGCATTTAAACACCATCAAACTGAGTCACGCATTTGTCATTCTAGTTTAAAGCTGTGCCACTTTGGCTTCTACTTCACTGAGAAAATTGCAGTGAGAAAAATAGATTACCAAGAGTATCTCAAAAATGGTATCCCTTTATTACAAGCCATTGTATTTAACGACTAAAAACCAATTTTTCTTTATTTAAGTCTAATTTAATATTAAAAAAAAGGATTTAAGGGTATAAATAAAGTATCGTGTTCGTAATAAGGATACGTTGAGATCTCAGAAACTATTAGATCTAAAGAGTTGAAATTTTGCATGCAGATTGATAAGATCAATTCAAAGATAAGAAATGCTTGCCCGAAAAGAAAGTAGTAAATTCAGTACAGTTAATTTACTTCTTGTAGCCCAACAATTGGTTTTCTTTTCCCAGTGCAGTACTGCTTCATTTTGCCATGAGTGCAGCTGAGCCAAAGCGGAAACAGCCAGCGAGGCTGACAACTCGTGACAATGGGAAAGGCGGATGCAAAGGATGGGTGGGCTTGGGAGCCGGCTGGAGATGAGCAGGAGCCGGAGGAAATGGCGTCGAAATAATTCATGTGCAAATGCATTAGTCGCTGACTTGCATGGGCACTTGATTGCTGGAGTACACTCAAAGAAGCCACGCGAAAGATAAAAAGTTTGCTTAAACGAAGTCGGCATAATGGCCATTTAATACGTTTCAAGGGGGTACAGACTATGGGGACTGTTGACTATAGTTATTTAATAGTATAATTGGAGACATTTTATCTACTTATAATCACTTATCATTTAAGATCGCTCGAGCCATAACGTTGACTTACCCAAGAAAGCTGGTATGGCACCCATGGGCATCACGAACAGACTGACCAAGAGATCGGCTATGGCCAGGGAAAACAGGAAGTAGTTGGTGACGTTCTGAAGCTTCCGGTCCAAGGCCACAGCCAGGCAGACGAGGATGTTGCCCAAGCCCCCCGCAAAGATGAAGAAGACCACGAACAGGAAAAGCCAATCGTAGCCGTGGGGACTGTAGTCCAGAAAGCTCTTCGTAACTCCGATATCGCTCGACGTGGCTGCGGTGGAGGCGACTGTTGTTGTGGTAAGGGCCGTGTAGTTGGCCAGAATCATGTCCAAACTACTGCTGGTGGCATTCACGATGCCAGAGGTGTCGTTGCCGGCTTCCATTAGCTCGCTCAGGTTGAGGAAGGACCAGAGTCCGTCGTGTTCGTTGCCCAGCTCGATTGGATAGGCCTCCAGTAGGCTGCCGTTCGAGAGGGGCTCCGCCTCCCCCAGGCCATCCAGCTCCCCAAATGGCTCCTGCTGCGGCTGCAAATGACAAAGAAATAGTTCCTGGGTCAGCCCCAGCTCACATTGCAAAACATCCTCTCCCTCCACGCAGCTCGAACTATCACTAAGTATATCACTGGATGCACTGAGTTCCCCGTTGATTGCCAGTCGAAATTGCTCATACGCCTCGTACGGCACTTGCAAAAGTCGCGCCCTCAGCCTCAACGCGCAGCTTTCAGACAATGGGCCCTCCCCATCGCAACTGTAGAGGGCCGTCTGCTCCGCTTTATCGAAGGCTTGCCGGGCACACTGGAATGAGCTGCTGCTGCCGTTGACGAGGATGTTGCTGGTGGGCAGGATGAGGTTGCTGTTGCTGCTGGTGCTGGTGTTGCTGTCGCAGCCAATAAAAGGCTGCCAGACCTCCGGCCGGGCCGCCTCTTCCAGTCGACAACTGAAGTGTCGCTGTGTGAATGTTGCTGCTGGGACTGCTGCAGTTGCTGTTGCACTTTCCGCTGTGGCTGAAGTTGTTGTCGTTGGTCCATGACCAGAGTAGCTTTGCATCTCCATTTCATTCTAAAGCTGTTTGGCCCCCTCGACGACAACAACAACTCAAAAGAGTAGCTGTTGTTGAGTGCAAAGTAATTGGCTGCAACGAAAAATGGGAAAGGTTGGTTGGTAGTTGCAACTTATTTAATTCAGGTTTTCGGATTTGGCTTTTGGTTTACCACGCGGAATATGCGCCCTCAGCTATAAGCAGATTCCGATTCAGATCACGTTTATAATTCCAAGATCTCAAGCTGTTTATGAACGCCAATCTAATATAATCTCTCCATTTCCCCTTTCTAGATCCGCAGATGATCAAAGAGCCAGTCTTTAACAAAGCCAAAAAAAATGTTTTCATGTTACACTGTAAACTAAAATAAAATAAATATTTTGAGAAAGTAAGGTATGGCAACAATTCGTCAAACCATTTATTAATTTTAAAACCAGACATTTTTTTGCAACGCTTGTCGAAACCACTGTTAGAGCAATTATCGCAATTTCCCATGTGGCCATTTCACGAACAACCTTCATTAGAGAGACCTGAACAAAACGAAGAATAAAGCGACCATATTTTCCAATATGTGTTTGTGTGCTCCTATCAATAGATGACAGCTGAAGAGTTGAGCTCGATGGGATACATCAGATGATGATGATGTTGATGTCGATAGCGCTGATGCCTGTGACGATGGCAGTGTCAACAAGAGCTGGCGACTCGATTTGAATTCGCTTTAAATGGCACGGCCAACAAAGGGTCGCGCGCTCATGGGTCCCCCTTTGACCTTCTGCCAAACATCCGCCCACTTCCCGCTCCAACGGCCTTGAATGCGGCTTTTGTGCTTGTGTCAGTGCCAAATTCAGCCGCCAACCGCGTGCTTCTAAAATGTGGTTTTAATTTTCTTTTAGGGCTTGAATATTTTCCGTTTTGTTGTCACCACTGATAATGGGTTGCGCCCACACACACAAATTGATTAAAAATGCTGCAGAACCATCAGATTTATGCAAACACTGCATTTGCGATTCGTGCAGTTTATGACAAATCATTTGGCCAGCTACTTTTTATACCCGTTACTCGTAGAGTAAAGGATATATAAGGTTCGTCGAAAAGTTTGTAACAGGTGGAAGGAAGCGCTTCGACCCTATACAGAATATATTGATCAGGATCACTTGGCGAGTCGAATAAATCGGTCGACTATATCATACAGGAACGATCGAATAATTGATGGGAAAATAATAGGAAAATACTTGTTGCTTTGTTATTTTGGATCATATTCTTATTTACTCCGATATATAGCATTTCTTAATATTGAAGAAATATGATTTTAATTAAATAAAACTCGGGTTACTTTGTCATATAGCTGCCTTAGGAAGGATAGGAAAATTAATGTTATGGTATTACAAAAACAGATATATCTCTTTTTCGCTTGTAAATTGAAATGAAATATTATTGTAATATTTCTGTAATTATTTTTTGTTTTCTAAAAATCGGAAAGGTCTGTACATACATTGCTCCCATAGGAAAGACATGTAAGGGTGTAGAAACTTCGGCTTGCGAAGCTAAGATGTTTTACTAAAATTTAGATTGCAGTTCAAAAACTAAATTTCGGTAGCATGCTCTGATTGTTCCCCATACTGCTTCTTTTCTCGCCAGCTAATGTCTCTCTCTCTCCATACTGTAAAAGTACTACCTAGATGTTTCGAAACATATATACAATTGACATAAGGGACTCGTATCCAGGGCTTTATTAAGCATGTAGATTCTAAAGTTTTAATGCTGGCATACAATTTGTTATTGACATTTGTTGGCTCCTTGAATACCCATTGCTTTACATACAAGAAATTTTCCCACGCTCGCTCAATCCCCAACAAAAGTTCATAACGCTAAAATCTGTTGTAAGCCCAAATTTTTAGAGACTTTGAAAACGTTTTATTGATATATTGTATTGTATATCAATAGATTTGTTCCAATTAACTAATTCAAATGTGACCTTTCATTAACAAGTTAAGAGCCAGTAATGTAATCGCCACTAGGTGGCGCTCTGCAATTTAAAAAAAATTTCTTCGCTGGTGGCATATCTCCCTTGCGCTTTGAGTTTAGTAACAGGTATCTGATAGTCGAGGCATTTATAATTAAAGGAAACAGTAACAGTGAGTAATAAGTTATAACAGCACTTTCGAATAGTTACGGGAGATTATGATACTTAAAGGGCCCGTGAAGTAAACGAAAATACGGGTATTTCTTTATTTTATTTTATGAGTTTACGAGTTATGTTTTCTTTTAGAGAGACGTCGAGTAGAATGCAACCTTATGTTCCAGTAAAACAAAATTATTCGACAAGATTTGCAGCCTGGGTTAAGCTTGCCCCAAGATCGCCCCAAAACTGGGCCAACCACATACATGGTGATGGGTAGAGACGCAAGAAGGTCCCTTTGCGCTTTGACAGTGCACTTTGCCGACTTAATTTGAGTGGCGACGTGGCTGCAGCAGCAACATTAGGGCGGGTCGATTTCTATGGGGCCGAAAAAAGTGACAAATCGTATGAGTGGAACAGAATCTTTAAAATGTTTAAAACAATATTTTTTGGGAAAAAATATCGTAACGCGCTCCAGATATTTAAAAATTGTTACTGGGAAAGTAGGGACCTAAAATGTTGTAACACAAATGTGCTGACTACGATATATTTGTCCAAAAAACAGTATTTTTCACTTGCGTTTGGGGAGTTTAAACGCCATTTTAGGCCATACGTTTGTTTGCCAAAATTGCTTGGAATCCTTCAAAGATTACGTTTTTGGCACCCAAATCGAACCACCCTTTTGCACATATATCCCCGTAGCGAAAAGCTTTAATGATGTCGCTGCATTTTGAAGTCGAGGGTTGGCACTTGAGGAAGGAATCACTTTAATCACACACAACGCCTTTGTTTCAATGTGAGTGTTGGTGGGTCCCTGAAGAAGATACATTTGTGTACCAGACAATGATTTGAGTGTCGCAGTTAAAGTCTCTGTTAGTTGATGGTAAAAATAATGATGTTGTTTTCTTGCTCTTGGAAAGCAAGTGCTTAGAACAATGTCGAATTTTCCAATTCGGAGCTCCAAGTTTACGGGTTAAAAAATAACCAATCCTACATAAAAACGGAAAATTTACAAAAGTCGAGAAAGGAAGCTAACTTCGGCGAGCTAAACGATATAGGAGTCCAATTTATAAAAATTAATTTAATTTCAAATAAAAAATGATTTGCTTGTACGTTAAAACATACAAATCCAATCGGGTTTTATATTAATTTTTTAGTCATTTTAATTTTGCATATGCATATTGCATTTGCATATAAATTTGGTTCTTAAACTTTTTAAAACTTACTTAATAGTGTATTTACTTTGTTGTCATAAATTATTTAAATCGGTCCATTCACTAAAAAGTTGTAATCAAAAAATAATTAATTAACAGCTGATAGGGATGAACGATAGGTGGTGCTTTTTTGTTAGCTGAGTAACGGGTATCTGATAGTCGGGGCCGTCGACTATAGCGTTTTCTCTTGTTTATGGTTACGGAACTATCTGCATTGGTAAATTTTTTGTGTGTAGATAACATTTCTTCAACCCGGACAAAGCTACGGCCGGGAAAGCTAGTACTTAAAATTTTGTATAAAAAATTCGATCATCACGACTTTATTACCCATTTTTGTCAGAGGCTTATCAAGGGCTAAAAGGGGAAGAGATTATTTGGCACGCCAAGTTTGCTGGTGTATGACTGCCATAAACAATGCAAAGCAAGTGAGAAAACGGCATGGCAAGCCAGGAAAAATAATATTTGCTTGAAATTCAATATTTGTTTTATGGGCCTCCTCGTTTGAGTGATGTGCAAAGTATCGATTAGAAGAAAAATAAAACCTTTCCAATTGATCTGTGACAAGCGACTTGGGTCTTTCTTATTTATTTCTCCGAGTGAGTAACCAACTGTGTTAATATTGCTTTTTTTTGTTTTGCCAGTGCCATTATCCATGGTTGCTGTGGTTGCTGCTGTCATCACTCGTGTGTGGCTTAATTTGCGGTTCATTATGCAACTAATTATTAACGGGGCGTTGCATTTTGCGTTTTTCCGTATCTTCATCATCTTTTTGTTCAAATTTCGCTTTATTTATAGACAACACTTGATGGCTGTGTTTACTTATTACATGACTCGTTCCTGGACGGTGATATTCAAGCAGCCGTGTCGTATACATTACAAATCCACTTTGTTGTAACATCAGAAAGCCTGATCTTCTTAAAAACATACTTTTAATATCTTTGAACATACACACAACAAAATTCCGCTATTCAAATTGTATTTCTTGTCACTTTGTTTACTATTTAATGGTTAACCCACAATTAACATAGTTACATGTGTATTTTGCAATGTGTTGTTTATAAAGCCTAACTGGGTCTTGCGTCTCGTACACCTAGACTCCAAAGAAAAAGGCCTAAAAAGTTAAGACTTTACCCAAAACGTAATATATTGTCTAAAGTCTTTAACATACTTTCACACTAGCTGGAAGTCACCTTTAAAAAGTGCAATTTAACAACAAGAAAAAGCGGTATAGTCGAGTGTCTCGATAGTGTCAGATACCTGTTACTCAGCTTTTAAATTGAAAATTGATAAAAGTTAATTAAAATGTTTAAATGACCGCTTTGAAAATTTGAATACGCATCGAAGATTCGCAAAAAATCGCATTTGGCACACGGGGGTTACCATACGAGAGTATGGTTACAGTGTTACGCGCACAAATTTTCGGGCCTTTTACTGCCTTTAAGTGCTTTTCAACACTGGGCGAACGATCTTCCGTCTTCTTCTTTTTCGCTTTTGTGAGTTAGTTAGAGTGGGCGTGGAAAAGTTTTTTAGGTCAATCGATAGGTATAGACGAGATCAATACATTTCTGTTAAATTTGTTTTCTTGTTTTCTGTGGGCGCCACTGTTTTGCGCGGCTTGTGGGCGTTACAGTGGGCGTGGCACATCAGCGTAACAAACTTTCGCTGCGTACGAAGCTAAGGAACCTAAATCTTAAGTTCCTCATTCTTTGATAGTTTCCGAGATATGCACGATTTTTGTAAGTTTGTGGGCGTTAGAGTGG